AGCTAGGCAAATGTAATTTCCACACCTATTCACTTTTAATTTAAGCCTATTTAAACTTTGGGGACCTTTCCATTGCTTATTTGTTATGGTGATATTAATGAATAGTTCTGCTTTACAAAAGTAAGAACGCTGCTTTCTTTTCAAAGAAGATGAATTAGCATGGAGGGAATGAGACTAGAAAAACAATCTGCGAAGTGGTCAAAGGCAGCTGGGGGTCACCTGGGCATTTAGGAGCAGGACAGAGACATGGTGCAGACAGCTTATCTGTGTCCTGTAGAGCAGCTGTTGCTAAAGTGGCCACAGACTTTGTCCCCGGGTCCACTGATAATTCTAGGAACACACTTCATGAAATGGGACCATGTACAATAGTCTGATCAAAATGTGCTATAAAATGCTCAAAACTTAAAAAGTGGTTCTTTTCAATTATTTTGTGTATTCTCATGTTTTGTTTCCCCCCATTTAATATTAATAGCTGCCAAGAGCAGGATGTAGAATAAGAATAAGGAACTGAGCAAGCATGTGGTGCAATGGAAGACTTAGCTAGAACTGAAGCCACAAGGATAAATTTCCCTAAAATGACCTTAAAGGACTCCATTCGAGCAGCCAATCTATATGAGTTAGCTTCAAAGGTGTCCCCTCTCTTACTCCAAGGGAAAGGTGTATTTTAGTTGCTTTGACTAACTCTTTTCTTTGCAGGCATATCAACACCAATGAGCTTGCCATAGAAATAAAAAAAAATTAAAAAAAAGAAATAATTAATTGATGATGAATGAGAAGTCTACAACTAACCCAATAAACTGTTTTTTTTTTAGAGTTACTATGTGCCAGGATGATTTTAACTTTTTTTTAAAAATAGTATTACTATAGTATCCTTTGTTCTCTTTTCTAACAAGTTTTCATGGAAAGGAAATACTGAAAAAATAGGCTTTTATTGCTGAATTTATGCTTTTAAGAATTCAACTCTTTCCATGCTAGGTGTGGGAAGTGAAGACCGAAGAGAGAATAGGTTTTGTGATTTTATCATTTTTTATGACTATGCTTCCAAGGTCATGTGTATTTATATTCTCACGGGGTCTCGTTCTTACTTCCAAGTATCTGGTTAGCCCAGAGGAATACTGTACTAGTTGCAGATAAAGAAAACATGAAGGATTTGGATAGAGCCTCCCAGCCATCTCCTGGTGGGCACTGCAGTTATCAACAGATATTTATGGAGTCCCTGGCCTGCACACTCTATCAGCATAGTAAACCTTGAACATTGAAGTCTTCCCCATGCTTTAAAGAATTTAATGGACACTTGGCTTATCCACTCTCGCCAAGAGTCGGATCTCAAGAAATTGAGAGTATGAGGCTACCCAGGTTCTACAACACACCTCCAGGTACAGGAAAGGGTGAGGATTCAATTATAGAAAAATCACACTTGTGATTTAAACCTTCATTGAGAATATCATGCTTTGGAACTTATTGTTTCAGAATCCCGACTGCAAACAGGTCTGGATTATGACCACAATGAATAATATTATGCCCACAGATGCAGTACACAGGCTTTGGAGGCTTTGGAGGTAAGTTGGCACAGGTGTTGCTGCCTTACAATTGTTCTTGCTGGGAAGCAAGACCGTGACCTGCTCTTTGGTGGGACTACCCCAGGTGGAGGCTGAGAACAGCTCACAATATTCTAAAGGTGTACAAGTCCCAGGCAGAGCAGTTCTCCTACTAGGAATCAGGAGGACTCTCCAACCAGGATGCACTTTCTGGAATGCATACTGCTGATCTCACTGGAGAACCTACTACATTTCTTCCAGCAGCATCTTAAACATGCTACTCTAGCTATTCCTAATGAGCTGTCACACATGAAACACTCTTCACAGACTATCACTTACAGAGGAGAATTCTTACTAGGACAGCTTTGAAGCTTTGTTGGTAAGTCCCAGCCATTGGTTAAAGCATTAAACAGACCCAGCATCTATTGGCAGCTATAGAAGTGACATGTGGATCATTGAAACACACTTTGGTTTGTTGTCCTGCCAGTCTGACTGCCTGTGTGTAGCAAAGCCTGGATATTTGGGCAAAGAATACTAAATACTGATGTTTTTTAATACCCAAGTTGCAGAAATTGCATTCTTCCAACCATGCTCCTAAAGCTGACTTTAGTGGAGGTGTCCTTGCTCAATGGAGGCCAAGCCTGCATTTTTCTGAGAGCATAGGTACAGATTTGAGAAGATGTTTGGTTAGCTCCACCCATGGCTGCTATTAGGAGAGAAGTTGTATACAGATCATGAAGGGCCATACCTCTAGGGACTTAAAGTAAGAGTCATGCTCCCATAGTCATGCTGCCCCTGGGATCAGGGATCTGGCTGAGCAGGAAGCAAGATGAACGTGGATGGTCCATGCTCTATAGATGGGGGTTCATGGTGAACAGATGGTTCTATGACCTATAGATGGAGATTCCATGCACTATTGACGAGGAGTTCACGATGTGCAGACAGGCAGATGCACAGGCAGAGTTCCTGGGGTGGCGGGGTTTAGGCAGCATTTACAGTGATTCTTCAAATCTTTTCTTTTGTTTTTTTTCCCCCTGAATCCAGACTCCATTGGGACAAGGTTTTAATTCAAACTGCTTGTGATTCCCTGTCCTGAGACCCATGGTCATAGCTGGCCCCCACCCAGTTGAGGGGTGCACATCTCAAGGGGGCTGAGAGGGAGGATAACGAGCCCCCCTGAATGGCGGCATGCCATGGTGTGATGAATGGCCCGCAACCCTCACGCCGCTCTGCGCCCTTCATCATCCAGTCGGAGTGGTTAGCAGACTGTCAGAGAAAAATAATTTAGCAGCCGTGGCTTTAACTGATGTGCTGCATTCTGGGGTCAAATGACTATTACAAAGTGGTAGCGCTGCCTAGTTTCTCCATCGTGAGAGCTCAGGGCTGACAACATGAAAGAAGGAGGCATCACACCCAGAATTCACTGACATCCTTCAATTTCTCAGGGTGGGAAGCTGCAGAGATGGGTGGGGGAGGCCGAGGACATTTCCTACTAGATGGAGGAATCCCAGCCTGGCTGAGAGCCCCCGGCAGGGTCTTGCTACAGCAGTATCAGGTTGGATGAGAGTAAAAGAGCAGTGGAAGGAGGGCACAGAACACTGGTGGAGACCTCTCTGAGAAGATGGCAAGGGACACTCCCCGACCAAGGTCATGCCAAAGGTCATGAGCAGCCTCAGGGAGGGACAAGTTGCCCTGCTCAGCCCTTCCCCAAACAGCAGGGGTAAAGCACGTTCATAGATGTTTTGGCAAGTTCACAGGATGGATAATAAAGAAACAGAACAGAAAGGAAAAAGAGAGGAATATAAATAAGTTGGAGACATAAGAAAGGAGAAGGTCAAGTCCCAGGAAGGCCCACTGGGAGATGTGTCTGGAAGCTGTTCTTGCTTTTGCAGTTCCCTGTTTTCACTTGGATTGTGTATTAATTTGACGGTGAATCTAAAGGCTAGATTATGGAGATTATGGTCTAAACCCCTCCCACCTGCTCCCTCACATGATCATCAAGTTCTAAAAAAAAAAACACTCGAACTTAAAGTGAATGAACGGGAGGTAGAGGTGGGAGGAGAAGGAGTCCTCTCTCCATCTGAGCACCTCATTTATTTACTCGCTTTCTTCCCTTGTGCAGGCTTTGTGAGAAGCAGAACACTTGCTTTGCCCATTGTCTATCCCCTGTCTACTCAGAATCAAATAAATATGGAGTGAATAAATAAGTCAATGCTCTACCCAGTTTGGACTCCGTGTGTGGGAGTCCTTTATGCACTTTGTGTCTGCATGCAGTATCCCTGAGCAAGTAGCTGAGGTTTTGGCGGAACCCAGCTTTATTTAACAGATTCGTGATCTCCCACCACAAAATAATGGATTCCTTTCTAGGTGTTGTGATGCAGTGATGGTGGCGATCACAGAAATAACTTACAATTATCAAGTACTTATGATGAATCCCGCACCCGGCTAAGTGCCTTTTAACTATGTAAAGTGTTTCTTTCCTTGATTGATGCCCCAAATGAATAAAGATAATTTTTCTGTATCTACTACATTAGTGATGCCCACAAATAATTCTCACAATGATAAGAAAAAAGATAATTTGCATAAATAAGCAATTACAAGACTTGGCAGAATAAGGTTGTTTTAAAATGGTATGAGAATAGTTCCTGCCACACAGGCCATGCTAAAAATGGTTCTTTAATGGGTGACGGTAAGCTCACGTAGGAAAGCAGACCCATGATCGTGCATGCAGAGGCCAGGGAAATGATGGTGTTGGTGGAGTAAAGCAAGACTCCAGTTGTTAATTTTCATTTCCACCGTCCTCTGCCTTCCAGCACATATTTGCCCTCTGACTCTGAGACTCCGCCAGTGTCCTGGGGGGAGCCCCCACCTGACATGCCCCTATGGCCCCCGAGGCACTGGCCTCCAGTGGGATAATCCCCACCTGCTTGGTCTCTCCAGGCTCCCTGGCTAGAAACTCAACCAGATGCCCACACAACTCACCTATATCACCTCCTGCTCTTTTCACCTGCCTCCTGAGATACTGAGAGGCCTGGCAAACAAAGCCTGCCCTTCCTGTGGTGTGACCCTCTCAGTGGGGAGAGAAGGGCCCCGACAATCAGTCCCCCCCACACTGGCTGCCCTTTCTCCCTGGCATGTGGTGTCATCATGGTAAAAATCACCTGGCTTCATGAATTCCGTCATCACCTCTGCTAAGTTGGAGCGTTGACATTCTTGTTCCTCTATTTATTCCTTTGTTTATTTCCTTTATTCTCATGATTCTCTCTCTCCAAAAAGCCTGGAAATTGCTCTCAATAAGGTTAGGAAGGGGAGACTTTTTAGGACAGCCAGCGCTCAGGGATGCACTCTGCTCACAGCCACAGGAGGAGAGGGGCCTGCCCACTCCCCCATCATGGCAAGGAGCCCCAGCTACATCCATCCCAGCATCCTTCCACCTGCAGGCAGCTACCTGAGAAATCTCACCTGTGGCAAGAGGTTACTTTTACTCCTGCTGGGGGTGTGGCCAGGCAGCCGGATGTCGAAGAGGGCCTGCAGGGCGGCCTGTGCGGCCTGGCCCTTGGCCAGCTTCTTGCTGCGTCCTGAGCCTTCGAACGTCCTCCCGTCCACGCACACGGCCATCACAAAGCTCTTGGTGCGAGGCTTCTCGGCCACCTCTGAGAGGCACACGTACCGCAGGCCAGAGCGCAGCTCATTCAGCACTACTACTGGGTTCCTCTCACCCAGGGCTGCGGGGGCCGGTCTGGCCCTGTCTGGCCTGGCCTGTCCCATGAGGTCCAGAGTGTGGCAAAGTAGCCGCCCTTGCCGGTAGGCTGTGGAGAGCAGCTCGGTGTCCACAGGGCGGCAGTTTGGGAAGTCCTCGCTGGGTGCCGATGGCTCAAACTCCTTGAACAGCGTGTCTGGGAAGTCGGCCTGGTCAGAGGTGAAGTCCGTGCATGGACTTGTGCCGCTGCCCATGGCCAGGTGGGCCTGGCAAGCATTGGGGAACTGCACGAAGGACTTCAGTGCCAGCTCTGCTGCCCGCATCTTGGCCTTCTTCTTGGTGGGCCCTGTGCCCTCAAACGTGAGTCCATTTACTTCCACAGCCACTGCAAAGACCGGGGCATGCACTGGGCCTGTCTGGGACACCATCCGATACTGCAGGCCTGGCTTCAGCTCGTGCAGCTGGACCAGGGCGTTCTTGGGTGTCATGGACCATGAGAGCTTCTTCCAGATCAGCTGGAGTTTGCAGAAGTGGCCCCCGTTCCCTTCCTCCAGGGGCCTTTTCCTTTTTATGCTGGGTGTGCTTCCTCTGGCCCGGTCCCCTGGCGGCAGGGGCCTGGTTCCCAGGTTGTTCACATTGCGGTTTTCCTTTACTTCAGTGCTGCTGGTACCTGGAGGTGAGAACAAATTAGTCATGACCTAGGGCACTGGCAGGTCACCACTTGTGACAGATACTATTACTAATGACCATATTGTGAAACTTGAAGTCCATTCCTATGAAGTTCTTGCCATCAGTACCATAAGCAGGGCCTGTGAAGTGTGCTCTAAGGAATGGCCTATGATGAATGTGAGGAATGAGTTCACCTGTGGGGACCAGGTGCCCACGGAAGAAAGGATCCACATCCTTGGGGACCTCGTAGCTGAGTTTGAGAAGAAGCAGAGAGAGGGAAGTGGGCTCATGGCTCCCCACCAGCTGCTCTGAAGGCGGTTTGTGATGTCATTGCCCATGTACCCTCCCTCCTGTCTGCCAACACCTCCCCAGGATGAAAAAGACACAGGGCTCTTCCTGTCTATGAGTTTTGGGCAACAGCAAAAGCCTTTTCTACAACAAGGAGACCCTTCCCTTTTCACTTGCTCTCAGGGTCTCCAGGACCAGTGCCTGATGTCTGTGATACCCCTAGCACCCCATGAAGAGGACTCTGCTGGTGACATGGTCCCTAATTCACATGGGAGGTGAGAAAGGCCGGGGTCCCCTGAGGCCTCAGGTGGAGGGGACGGCTAGGAGCCAACCAAGTGGAGGCACACAGCAAACCACCTGTTTTGGTAGATCATTTTGTGGGCAAAAGGCACACCATCCATTTACAAGTAAGAACAACAGAGCTGAGTTGTGACAGGGATCACATGACCCTGAGTATGAGCTATTTATTACTTGGTCTTCCAAAAAAGTGTTTCCTAGCTCCATCCTGGAGGAACAACCCATGGTCTTCATCCAGGGCCACAGGTGCTGGGCATGGCATCTTACTACTGGAATTGCCTGGGGTTTCTGAAAACTCAGCATACACACCAAGTCCGTCATCCTCTGGGAACTGCACTGGTATTAGATAAAAAGTCGATGTGTCCATGTGATGGGGTGGGAACCATGGGTCTGAATGGACAGTTGGGGATGCTCCAGGCAACCAGGTTGGTGGTGACAGCAGGGACCCTGCTTGCTGCCTGGACTTGTGCCCCTGATATTCTTGCCATCTTATCAAGCTAGGTAAACATTGAAAACAGACTAAAAATGCCAGAGTGTTTTGAAGGATATGCACCTTTGGGTCAGCGGCAGAGAGCACAAGTACAACTCCTTTGGAGGGCATTGTGGGAGCAGTCAATGAGGATCATGAGGTCCATAACCTACTCAGAAATTCTGCTGCTGGGGATACACCTGACAGACACTTTCATGCATGGAAACAGAGATTAACAAAAATGTTCATTGCAGTGTATTTTTGCAAAATTGAAAATTTAGAAAATGCCTGAATTTCCCACAGTTAGAGGAATAGCAATAAATTGTAGTATAATCATATTACAGAAAAATGTATAGCAATTATATCTGATGGACTATATCTCTATGCCTCAATACAGATAAATCTCAGAAATGAATGTTAGGTGACAAAAATCAACTTGCAAAATAATCCAGAGTAGGATATCATAAATATGAATGAGAAGAACACCAACTTTATCTATTGCTCATGTAATCACATTTGTGTGGTAAAGCTGCAGATAGATACCTGTATAATAAAGGTACAGTCAAACTTCCCCCTGGGAAGGAAGGGAAGGAGATGGGATGAGAGGCCAGAGGGTACCCTCAATTGTATCTGTAATGTTTTATTTCTTTTTACAAAACATTATCTGGAGTAAATTTAGCAAAATCATTACTTGTTAACTGTAGGTGATGGATGAATTTAGAGATCATTTAATTTTTCTGGACTGGCCATCTTGGGCCACTTTTCCTGATAAAGCTGTTTTGTTTAGAAAATCTCACTTGTGAATTACCAGATCACCTCCTGAGGGCCTGGTGCCCTTCTTTGGGGAGTATGCCTCTGAAATGCTAAACTCAAGTTTGCTGTAAAATACCCTGAGAATTCTGGTAGTGAGCCGTGCTGTTTTCTTTTATTCCAGACTTTGCTATGTTTCTTCTTCCTCACATCAGCCCTGGGTTGGGTAGTAGAATCACCACCTTATAGGTGGGAAAACTCAGGATCAGAGAGGCAAAGCAGCTTACAAAGCCTATGCAGCTTAGTAATTGGCTGATATGATTCAATCCTAGGAGTCACAGATTGCCCTCATCTGTGCTGTGGCTACAAAGTTGATTTTTATGGACACCAAATAGTTCCCTCGTTATCTTGGCCATTGTATAGTGACACCCCTTTTGGGGCTCTTTGGAAGATCATGAGAAAGCTGAGGCCACAGTCTGCCTCCTTTGTGACCAGGTGAGCTGACCTGGTCAGGCAGGACCACAGACACATTTTCATTTATGCCCTTTAGATGTGTTCTCAGGGACTGGGAGGTCTTGTCTCTGTGGCAGATTGTGAATGAGACTTTTCTCATTAAGCAAGTGGAAACTGAGGGTGATTTTTATAGCTAACCCACAGCTCCATCAAGTTTTTCCAGAAATTCTGGATGTTCACATGTGGATAGGTTTCCCTCACGCAGCTTGAAAGCCATCAGGTTGAGACCCCCCTGACACATAGGCACTCCCCACTCCTTGGTTTGTGACATTGTTGTTGGAGGATAGTAAAGAAAGAAGTACAATTTCCCAGGTACAAAAGATGCCTTTGAAAATCAGGTGACTTCGAGAGCTATGCTGATAGGTGAGTGTGTTCTTTTCCGGGTGTGCTGCCTGCTCTTAGTCCAGGTTAAGCTATTTGTCACACAACCACAAGTCTCACAGGTCTCTATAAGGAGGTTGTGCCAGTAGGAGGCGCTAGGCTCTGCTCTGAAAGTGATCTTGTTGGATTAATTTTCTAAATTGTGAATGCTTCTGTTATTCTCGTTTCTATCAATTTGCTTCTAAAAACCAGTAAGTTTGGGGAGGTTATTTTACTCAAAAGTGTGCATCTGAGAACTTTATAGTTGTAGGTGTATAACATTCATTTACAATCCATTTCAGTAGGAATAAATAGCAAGCATTGAACCTTGACCATTTTTGTTCGTCATTATGCACTTTGAGGAAGTGTACCATTAAGGGTATTTCAAGCCAAAGGGGAGCAGATCAGATGTGCTGTTGTGATTTTCCAAACTGAACTTACAAATGGAAAAAGGAACAAAAAATACAATTCCCAAACCCCCACACTAGATTGCCTGGAACTTGCTTGGAGTGCTCTAATTTCTTATTGATTTCTTACAATGTGGGGATTGAGTAAGACTGTTGGTGTGATTAAAGTGGCCAGCATATCAGATGACCTCTGTTGTATCTTAGAGAAAGGGAGCTCACAGCACAATGCTTTTCCCCTAAGCTTTTGGCATCCTATGACAGCTATAATTGAAGTTTTCTATGGCATAAACCACTTTGGAGTGGGAGCCCTGTCTTAGTAATTAATAACAACCCATAGAGGGTACAGACTCTGGTCTCCACCTAGACCCTAGCTAGAGTCTCGAGGGGTGGCACCCTTGTTTAGAGAGATTAGCATCCTTTCCATGGGCCCACATGCCCTTTCCCACATGCCCACACACCCTAGCCCACATGCTCTAACTGGACCTCTGAGCCCAGCGAGTGTGGCAAAGCCAGCTGGGGCCTGGCCTCTGGTCTCTGTCCTGGGAGCCTTGGGATGTGAGGAGGCTCAGTTACTGCTCCACAGGGTCTGGGGTCCAGCAGGTGAGAGAGCAAATGATTTCTTAGTCATTTATGCCTATGAGGCTTGTGGGAGGTCATGAGTGAGGATTTTAATAGTATTTTCCTGTAAGGTGAACAAGCAGGGAACAGTCAATTTTTGCTACTAGCAAGGAAATGGTGAGGTGGATACTTCTCATTTGTTTCCTTTTGTTCTCTCCCTGTGTATTTGCTTGCTGAAATTCTCCATCAATTTTTTCCAGAAATTCTAGTATACCCCATAAAGAAGGGTGAGCCATTCCTTCATCTCTGGTGTGCTGGGTTGGAGATCATGGTCTACCACCTGGAAAGCCTCCCACTCCATCCTACATGGCCAAGGGAGCAGCACTGGCTTCTCACACAGCAAAGCCCTGGTCTCTGTCTTGACCAGCAAGGCAGACATTTGTTTTCACAAACACTAGCCAGAATCTGCTGAGCACCAGTGCATAGGAAGCAAAAACCTAGTCTTTTCTTTTTAGGCCACTTGGGTGCAGTGGGAGAAGCACAGACACCTGTAATCCTCCTGCAGTACCACCTCAGGCCCTGGGAGAGGGCGTGACTGAGCTCCACCTCATAGGGTGACCCTCCCCTGCTGCGAAGCTGCTGGAAGGTACTGGAGCCCAGTACCTGGTGGCCAGTCCAGGCTCTTGCTGCAGCAATCCTCCCCAGGGTCTTCTCAGGCCTCCGACTCTGATTTTACAGGTTAACATTCTCCTCTTCCATCCGGAAGGCATTGAATACATCACACTCCCCTCCTCTGACCCAGGAAATTATGCTTGTTTTTTTCTCCATTTAGCTAATGGGTTTCCTACACCCAATGGTCGTATATAGTAACCCACAGATAAAAGGTCAGGAGACCAGGAAAGCTCTCACTTGTCAATGTGGGCGAGGGAAGCTACTTATCGCTGCACATGCTTGAGTTCCATCCCTGTGCTTTAGAACCTGAATGCAGAGGGCTGTGTCTGCACTGGGGACTCCCAGCCCAGTCCTCTACTTCCTGTCCTTGGGGGTCTGTGCACACACCAAGCTACACTTGGGCTGTGAAGAGACGTTGGGGACTTTTTGCTTGCTCCTGTCTTTCCTGTTGCATGGGAACTGCTCCCTGGAGGTATGTCACAAATCTTTGCACCTTTTCTGCTTTCTCTGAGTATTTCTAAGGGTGCCTCTGGTGGATTAGGTGTTTGCCCATTGGCTAAGAGTAGATTTAAGGTCCGGTTAACACACACACACACACACACACACACGTGATGATATGGGAAATGAATATGTCAGTTGATTAACTGAATTAATCATCTCACCATGTATATATATTTGTGTGTGTGT